GCACCGTAATGCGCTCTTACTGAGTTCCACTCCTACATGGTTGCACGCCTCTTATTATTAAAAGCAACATTGAGTGGTCATGGGACCTGAGTTTTCAGGGAAATTCCGACACAGCAACAGGGTTAAAGGATATGGTCTTTGTAGCCGATACGCCCGACAAAACAACACTGCGCAATGGGCAATATGCAATGAAGACACCAAAATGGTTGTTGGCCTCCGGTTTAAAAGCAAAGGAGAGTAAAGTGAGGCCGCCATGGCCGAAACCATTTCATGTTGAGACATAAAACACTAGCGATGCGTGGGAGTAACTGCCTTTAAAAAGCGGTTTGTTGCTTTTTGGAACTTTGTCTAATCTTAGGGTTCGCGATTGTCAGCTCTTAAATTGTCTTAATCAGCCCAGCCCCTGAATGCTAAATAAAAAGGGGATTCCAAACTCTCCACAGGCCTTGAGTCAGCCAAGAGATCCTCAGGCCTCTAAATATTTACAAGATATTTGAAACAAGCCCGCTGCCTCGAGACAGTCAAGAGATCGACGCACGGAATTAGCGTGCCTGTAAAGGACCAGGGACCTCAAGGTGGTCAAGGCATGCGAACTGGTCAAACGTGTCCTGATATGTGGGGTCCAAAGTGACCAGCAGATCAGAGACATTGGATGTGGATAGATCCATTCGCACGTTTGACGTACCTTGTTCAGTGGAATTTGCGCCATCCTTTTCTATGTTTTAACTAAGCCTAAAGTTCTCCAGGAAAAGCTGGTGCTTTTGAGCTGTTCTATGCTCAGTAATTGCAATCCTTCAAAGTTAATTTCATGTCAGCTCAATCATTGATGGGTTCATGGCCATGAACTGAAACCGGTCTAAAAGTTGCTGAAATACGATAGCACACTTTTTGACGAGCCAATCAGTCCAAATCCGTCAACATTGTGTGCTTGACCCCTTCCGACAGTCGACATGGCCTCACACGCTTCCGCATCGCCTTTAGCAGTCCAGACCTTCCCCAGGATCAGCTTTCCTCCAGCTTTCTCGGCGCCCAAGTGCCCCCTGGCCGGCTGCGCCGAGAGGAGCACGTCCGGCGAGCTCCCGCCCCGACGGCAGATGACGCTGTCGCCGGCCTACCGCGCTCGCCCGCGGAATCTCAACACTTTCTCTCTTCGTCGGCAAGGTCAACGGCTGATCTTCGCGAGTCGGAGGGCCGAGACCCAGCCCCCTCGGACGTCCCCCGGCCGCCGCCGCCGCCGCCGCCGGACAGCTATAAAGCCTGCGGCCGGTTGCAGTGACCACATTCGGGTAGCTGCCAACTGCTCTGCTCGTCGTCGAGTGGAACGGACAAAAATCATTAGGTGAGTGCCCCCACAGTCTGAACTGCAAGTCGGTGTAGCGCTGGTGAAGTCCGAGACTTAACGTCAGCTGTGGCGGTGAAGGTGTCAGTGGAAGTGGTGGAATTAGTGACTTCCAAGGCGAGAGCATTCCGTGTGAAGGAAGAACCGAGCTAGAAGCGAAGAATGATAAAGAAACGTTGATTTCATTCAATGATGAGTTGCGAATAGCTGAGCTGATAATGGGGTACCCTCAATGTGCCGGGAGGTGGTGATAAAACGACCTTATGAAGCAGGCGTTCTTTACATTAAGAAAACTCCACATGTATTGGTTGTGTAGAGTTTTCCCAAAGTGATCAATGCTGGCTTGAGTATATCCTTTAAGCAGCACCTCATCGAAGGTTAATTGCCGATAAACTTCAGTATATGCAATCTTGCTCGTGACTTTTAATGCCGAAAGACCGGGTTAAAGTCTCTCTTGCTTACATGAAATCAAAAATTATCGCGCTTTTGTTAACTGAAGGTGGCAGTCCCTGAGAATCTTTTGTCTGTAATGGCGCTTTTGAGATATTCATGATTTGCGTGACGTGTAATTTATCATTCCAAATTTCTGCCCGTGATTATTCAGTTTACGCATTCTCAAAGACATTTGGTTCGAGCCACTCTCGTTGAACAATGCCTTTCCTGCGTCATAAACTTGCAGTACGTTGATTATTTTCCCATGTATTCACAACATTATATATGATACATTAGATGGTTAAGGCCATATACATTTATAATTATATATGTATCTGTATGTATATGGCCTTAACTATGCACATCAAATAGATGTATGTGTATCAAATCACATATTCCGTGGCTCACTCCAAAATATTTTTAAGGCACTTGTTCAACCTAGACCGTCATGAAAACCGTATTGGTGTCGAATAGCTGCGTTCTTTTTTCAACATTCTTTTCTGTTGTTCTGTGGTGGGCAGTGTGACCGCTCTGCACTCACCACTACCCATGGATGTTACAGGGGCAGTGGTGCATGGGCACTGCCCCTGGATGTTGCATGACTACCGTCTCTCTCCCGCTGGCCTGGCTAGTGGTTTGAACGAGTTCAAACACTGTACCAGGTTGCAGAATGCATTTGTAGTAGAAGGAAAAGTAGTAGAAGTAGAAGCGCCCGAGGAGTTGTGCAGTTACTTGTCTACAGATTGAAGTCGTCAGGGTTCGTCGTTCTGTGGGTGCCCTGGTACCCACAGAACGACTTACGCACCCTCGACCTAAAATAGGACAAGAAAATGCTGTTGGCTGAAGCATGCTCGTTTGGGAGGTACCCAATTTTTTAAGAGAGGGGAAGGAGAGCGAAGGTACCTGAGTTACCCACACTACCAACTGTGCATCGGGGCGGCCTGGTTCACCCGTCGCCGTCCAGCACGAAACTTATGCAGGTGTTAGAGGCCTGCATGTGTGGAACGCCCACCAAACGACAAGCGAAAGAAATTATAAGATTGGTCACGTAAATTCTCTGTCACATGGCTGACGGAGCAAGTATAAGGATTTACAACTTTGCGGGAGCTTGGCCACCCACACTCCTGTTCATCACATCGTGCCTGTGGAAGTCGCTGTGGGCGATAAAGTCCATCCACCTTCTCACGCCTGGCGAGCTGATAAGCCTACGTCCGCCCGCATCTGGGACAGAGCGAGTTACATGCCGGTGTGAGAAGTGATTGGACTTTGCTGCCCATCGCCCAACGCGTTGCTTAGCGTGAGTCACAGCCATAAGGTCCAATCACTGACTCCGCCCATGTAACTCCTCTGTTCCAGAATGTGGCGTATTCTGGCCTCCACCGTCCTGGTGGCTCTGGCGGCGGGCCAGCTTGAGGTGCCCGGCGCCTACCTGCCTCCCGCGTGTCCCGAGCCCAAAACCATCTTCAACACCAGACAAAGGTGGTCACAAACACCGTCACCCGCGTGCTGACGTCGGTGGTCACGCAGCAGGTGCTGCTGACGTCAACCGTCACGAGCGTCGTGCCCAGCACCATCAGCGTCACCAACACCGCGAGCGAGACCAAGCAGGTCATTGAGTCGAGCGTTGTGTCGCGCGCCATCCAGCTGACCGTGACCAAGACTGTCAGCCAGCCGGGCCCGACGATCACCGTGACGAGGACCAAGGTGGTGAGCGAAGTCAGCGTGCTCAACAAGGAGCAGCTCAAGACGCTGGAGGTGACGCAGACAAAGGTGGTCTCGAAACAGGAGACCGCGACCAAGAAGGTCACCAACACGGTACCAAGAATGTGGAGAAGCTGATTTACTCCACCAGCACGTTGGTCGTGCCTGGCAAGACGGTGGAGCAGATCAAGACCAGCGAGCTGGTGCAGACCAAGGTGGCATCCTCGCAGCTGCCCGCCGTGACCAAGATTGACACCAAGGTGCAGTACATCACTGTCACGCTGACGGAGACACTGCCTGGTAAGACCATTACTCAGATCAAGACCGCCGTCAACACTAGGGCCATCACCATCACAGACACCGACCAAGACGGATCTGGTCACCGTGCCGCAGGTCATCACCCAGACGCAGCCGGCATACGCCACGCGCACCGTGGTCAGCACGAAGGTCTCTACCGTTGTCGTCACCGTTACGCAGACGGTACCAGAGTACGTGACGCAAACTCAGACGAAGATCTCCACCAAGCCGGTGGTGGTCACCCAGACGCGGACCGTCATCAACACAGTCACGGGCAAGGACGTGGTCCGCGTCCTCTCCCAGACGCAGACGACCACCTTGCGCGTGCCCGGCCCGGACGTGACCCTCACTCAGACGACGACCGTGTACCAGACCGGTGTGGAGGTCGTCACCTCCACCAAGATTCAGCCGTCGAAGGTCGTCAAGGTGACCACGGTTACGGAGTCGTGCAAGGGCTACAACTACGACACTCCGGAGAACCCGCTGCTGATCTAGACGCCACGGACGCCGGCCTTCATCAAGACCGAGACAGCGCCGCACGAGCGCCGAGCGATGAGAGGGTATAAGTTATGAGTGTGCTGAACGATTGCTGCCCACGTTGAATATGTGCCTGTTGTGACCACATGACCATTTTGTCATGCGCTGTGGCCGTTCCGCCGCAATTTCATGCTCTGGAAATTAATAAATCTAAGGGAACCGAAAGACCATATGCTATACGAAATCACCGGCAAATTTACTGGACTGCGGGGGTGCCACCTGCGAAGTGGATGGACTCAGGTAAGCGTGAGAACAAGAGGCGACAAATTTTCAGCCGCGCCAACAATACGCCTGTTTCATTCGTGTGTGTTATCTGCACTTGTTCTTGATTGACATAGGACGGGATTTTGACCGCTCCTGTGTGTCATGCTTACGCGTGCGCTGTTATCCTGGCAGTTGGGGTGGTGCTGAGTTTCTTGATGTCTCTGTCTCTGTGCGCGCCTCACCGTTCCCCACTCTTGAACACTAAACCATCCACTAGAACAAATTCAGGCAAGCGAAACCCGCTCAAAGGTCACAAAGCTAACATCGCTGTCAAACCCATTGGCTATCCCACCAAAGCTTCTTCACGTTCGAGCCCCTCTCCCTCAGCTTTAAGCGCGCATTGTCGGAACCTGACATCGTGTGATGGCCAGCGTGTTAGTCTTGGAGCGGCCACTGGCGCCGAAAGGTGACCGGGCTGCGCCGTTTCAGAATGAGTCGCCTGATCCTGCTGGCCGGCCTGCTGGCCGCTTGTTACGCGGCGCCTCAGTACCCCGGCAGTGACTACCTGCCGCCCTGCAAAGCAGTGGTCGACGTCACCTCAGTCGCGTACGTGACCAAAACCTCAAAGTATGAGAAGGTCAGCACCCTGATCCAGCCGAAGGCTATCACCAGCTACAAGACCGAGACCAAGGTGGTGCCGCAGCTGGTGACGCGCACGGTCGTGGTGACCGAGACGGTGCCCGTGACCAAGACGAGCATCAGCACAGTCACGGAGGCCCAGACGAGGCAGCTCATCAAGACCCAGGTTGGCGAGCCGTGACGCAGGTGCAGACGATTTCGAGCACAACGGAGGTGGTGACCACCAACTACGTGACCCGCACGATCACGGCCACGAAGGTGCTGACTTCCACTGTGGTGCAGACAGTGACGCGCACCATCACCGATCAGGCGACCGTCACACGCACCAACACCGTCGTCAAGACCAACGTCGTGACCAGCAGCCTGCCTGACCAGGTCTCGATCAGGACAAACACTCTCACGCGGATAATCACGTCCACCAAGGTGGTGCCTGGTCCGACGGTCGTCAACACCATCACTCAGACCAAGGTCAGTGCTCTCAGGCAGGCTTTCGCAGGCTTCCTTTGAAACTTTGCCCTCATTCACTTCAGGGCACAGGGATTTGGGTCGTTTTCAGCATGCGCTTTTCGGCAATATCAGATGCTGACGTTTGTAAGTTGTTGATGAATATTGTTTGCACTCCATTGAGATTAGCACTGCTCCTGATGAAGCCGCATACAGAGCAGATGAGGGCACGTAGGCGAGCCGCAGCCGGGCCGATCACCCCTTAGATGCGCATACAGTTGAATTGGAAATATTTTGTTGGCATGTGTGCGCTTTAACCCACGTCATGGGCCCGGTGCAGCGACCACCTTACTTCGCAGCTCTGTGCGAACGGCGCCCTGTAGGCAGCTAGCGCTCTCGTCTGGCCACGGCGGGATGCAGCCCCGGTCTCCGGGGCCTGACCGGTCGCTCGCGTTCGCAGACCGAGACGAAGGAGACTGCCGTGCAGCAGCCGGACAAGACCCAGGTCATCACCACCACTCAGACCGTAATCAAGACGAACCGCGAGGAGGTCACGCAGACGGTGAGAAGCACCATCGTCTCCACCCAGGTCCAGATCAAGACGGTCACGCAGACGTCCACCGTGACGTCGGTGCAGCAGCGGGTGGTCAGCGACACGAAGAACGTGCAGGTGACGGTCACGCAAACCCAGCAGAGCTTGGTGACGCAGGTCGTCACCCACCGGCTACGAGACGGTGGCTGTGACGCAGACGAAGAGCGAGCCAGGAAAGACGGTGGTGCAGACGTCCGTCCAGCTGGTGACGGCCACGCAGCAGCTGCCTGGTGCCACCAACCCAGCTGAGCACGTCCATCGTGGACAGGACCTCCACCCAGACGAAAGTGGTCGTGAAGTCCGTGGTGGAGACCAGCTACGAGACGAAAACGGTGAAGGCACCTTGCGGCTACGACTACTCCGAGCCGGAGAAGAAGTTCGACTTCTAGACGGCTCCGGTACCCGAGGAGCGTCTCTGATTTGGCTGGGGTAATTGTCCGACAACGATTGGCGCCGGCAGGGGAGTGACTGCCAAATGACGCCTTGTTGCACTTAAATTATTGTCATGTGGTCCGGAACAACCAGGCACATATTCAACGTGGGTGTATGAAAGCAACTGTGGAGCAGCATGTTTGAGTGGGGCAGAATGTAATAAGACGACCGTGTGCAACAGACTAAGCGTCGTGTTACTTCCCGAGTGCGTCGACCCGATATGTGTCTGAAATGACGACTTAGGTTTACGGACAGGCCCCAGATGTGAAAACTTTAGAAAATATCCTTTTATTGCTACAGAAATGGAAGCTTTACTCCACGTTTTACATGGGTGTTGATTTGATTCTTTTTGTGGTGTCCAAGCCGTCAAATAGGATTGGTGGCAGTTGTAGCCGATTCGTGCGACCGCCAGTGAGCTCAGCGGGCGAAACGCAGCGAGCCTGCACAAGCCAGCCAAGTCCTTGACAGCATTCTCCATCCCTACTTGGATAGTCATCAGTGTCCATGCGGAAGCTGCACCTCTAACAACCTAAAATAAAGATAGGCAAGGGGCGTCGAGCTGTCAATAGAAGGCAAGCCATACGTTACACGTTTAACTACACCCATCCGTATTGCTGGCATGATGCCGCGTCCGCAGCATGCGTGTCTTACCTTTACAGGAAAGGCTCACGGACCGCGTAGTGATACGAATTATGCGGCGTTCCAGCGAGGATTAAGGACATGACATTTTTGGATGACTAATCCAGATAAAACCCTGAAAAGACGGAAATCTTGCCACTCTCAGAGCCAAATACCGACACGCAATCAGTGTATCGAGTGGTACCTGCACGCCAGGGCGGGAACGAGCCATTAATGTGCACCAGGCACAGGAAGCAACCGTCCTATCTCAGTGAAAACCAGCCACCGTGGGGCGTCCACAGTGAGAACCAGCCACCATGGCGTCCACAAGTGAGAACCAGCCATCGTGGGGCGTTCACAAGTGAGAACCAGCCATCGTGGGGCGTTCACAAGTGAGAACCAGTCGCCGCGCGACGTCCACGAGCCGCGCCTTCATGTGCCCGCGTCTGAAGATTTGTGAATTAACAAAAAAAAAGGCACTTGCATCAGATTAGGGACATCAAGCATGCCGGCTACCAGAAAGCTAAGCGGAGATGCATCCTTCGTGCGAACGGCGTTCAGTTATTGGGCTCAGCTGCCGTTATTGCAAGTTACCCAGAAGAGTCATTCCTGCTTTCCTATGTTTTTGGGTTAGATATGAGCTTTGTGAGCTTCTTGGATAGTGAAACGGTACTCTACGCTAAATCGCGCAGCGTTCTCGATCTGACCTCATTGTTGGAATTATTACACCATATTTCGTGCAAGAAGAAAAAGTAAGGCTATCTGAAGGGTGCCCTTCATCCTGACTACATTGTAGCAATGCTACCATGGACGTAACTTCAAATGGCTCCAGGAAACCGTGGAACACCAAAGTAAGTAAGATCAGAACCAAAAAAAAACCCTGAGCTCATCGATTTGTGTCCAACTGGCTCGGTTTGGCCAATCAAAGGTCACTTTCACTGGTGTTCACTAATCCGGTGCGGGGCGGCATCTGACGGAGTCCCGTCCGCGCCGGCCGGCTCCCGGCGCATCCGGACAAAGTCAAGGCCTGCCCAGCGCTGCTGACCTTCAGTGAACAGCTTTCCTCGACGGGTGAGCGCCGGGCCGCAGCCTCTCTAACCCCGCAGAACGGGTCCGATTAGAACCGGACTCGAAATTAAGTCACACACATGACCTTTCGGAACTCGGGCTTCACGTTGCTCGCTTTACAGATGACACGTACCCTAACTCAGGTTGCCGACTGAACGGGTGGTCGACTTGGACTCAGCCTCAGGCGCAAACTAAGTGCATCGTGCTCAACTCAAGCCCCCAGCAGAATTATAAAATAGAAATGCGATATTTCCATCGATTCTTAGAAATAAAGGAAATCACAGCACACGTCGTTACGAACCCATTCATGGACGCCCCGATTGCGGTCATCATATTAGCGCTCAGGGGCCGTAGCGCAACCCGGCTTCGAACCCGGGTCCCGACGTGAGATCTGAAGGCGCTAACCACTCGGCCATTACATTCACAGATTAAATGACATTGGGGCTAACTTCAAACTCGGGTTCTGAAACTTTGTCGTCGTCGCCTGCCTCGCTCCGGGGCAGGGACGGCGAGCACCAGGTTCATGGATTCATGAATGTGCTTACCAGAAATATGGTCGATGGTCGCTATGGTCCTATCCCCAAAAAGTGAAAAATCGGGGAGCGGCAACAAACAAACATTGTTTTTGTTTGAAATGTCAAATGTTCAGCTCAAAAATGTTCTGTTTGTTGTCCCATCATTCAATATCTTTCATTTTTTGTTTTAAACCATGTCGGCATCTGAAGAAATTACATAAAATCTGACCCGACGGCAGCTGGCGTGGTTTGTGCAACCGTCTAGCTTGCACAGCTGCGCTTGTGATCACATAAACCGCGTCTGTATACTGCACCACATCTAGTGATAAGATAGAATGCTCACACCCGACTGTAGCACTTCACAGATTGCTTTTTCAGGATCCAGTCCGCAGGGGCGGTAAAAGTGTGCTTTTTGTCGCTGCCCGAATTTCTGGAGACAAAATTGTCGCCAGCAGCGTCATGCGCTGCCATATGACATGAAATGGGAATCCACGCCCAGTAGCGTCATCAGGAATCAGCATATCGCCGAAAGCATCTTTTATCACCACAATTTTCAACATCATGCACACAACCAAAACACTCCATTTTACGTTGTCCGACTTATGTCAGGATAACTTCTGGTGCTAGGAGAGCAGATGCACCCGCCCTAGACTATGGAATAGCCAAATCACAACAACGGTCTTCCCCACCCTCGGGACTTGCCGGGGCCTCACGATTAAACTCGATCTCCGGCTGGCTTTGCTTTACCCGACCGCGAAAAGACACAGCGAAGGATCCTGATAGCCAAAACAGCAGAATACACGGCAGAGTTTAAAACCGATGGCAGGCAGCACTAGAGATGGCGTCTACTATACAGGCATCCTTGACCATGCCCGTTATGAACACACGTATGTGCTTCGAGCTCATCTTAGCCGTCATCAAACTGACCACCATACCCTAGGCATGCTCCGAGACTGGAGCGACATGTGTTGCCTGGTGGGCGTCTTTCGCCGTGCCCCAACAAGTATATCGTATTGCAATTTGTTAATAACTTGACACGCGCCCGGGGGCCGGTCGGATACGCTCCGCTCGGTTGGGGGTCAATTTGACCCGCCTGAAATCTCAAGAACTAAGTAAGATAGAGCCACCAAATGTACAGAGTGCGTTGATCTGCACATGAACTCACTTAAGTCGAAGTTTGAGGTTCCTAGGCCATGACCTTCGGGCTAAATAAGGTTAAGCAAGGTTCTGAGCTACGTGCCCACGAAAATGTGACAGGTATATTGGGGAGGGCATTTCAAGGTCACCTCAGTGGTCATGACGTTATAGTAAAATCATTCAAATCCTGCCATGGTGCTCATGACACCTGGCGCTTTGACATCATATACATACTGCCTGCTTCCAAGAGCTCTGGTGATTGCACAAGCTACTCTAAATATTACCAAATCTTTATTTAAGATATGAAAAAGGGTACACAAAATGCTGCAAAAATGAAGAAAATATCTGCTGTGGCATGGAATGGATCAGTTGAAGCTGCTGTTTAACTCATCACTTAAGAAGACTGACTAGGCAAGCAGAAACTATAGTTCTGAAATGGGGTCAGCTTTTCTCATTTTATCAGACATGACCTAGTATTTTCAAACTCTGTAATGTGTTTTCTGCCAACAAAACATACCCCTGTCCTGTTTGTTACCTCTGAAATGTAGTGTCACCTGGGGTTAAACAGGATTGCTAATGTGTTCATAGGGAATGGTAGCTATATTGAGATAACACAGGATATTAGATCATGCGATGTCTTAGCTTCTTGGAAGGAATGGGAGCCAGAGTTCCTCATAGCAGCGTTTCTTACCTACGCCCACCTTTCGCGGATTTGAAATAATATGATCTAGTCGTGGAGCTTCAGCGGAAAAACCTCAAGTCCTGCGACGTTGTCTGCAACGGCATGGGCTCAGTTCTGTGGGCGCTGCGGCCGGACGTGCTCGTGGTCCCCTCGACTCCTACCTTTCCTGGACGACCGCAACTGCTAGCTGGGGGCGACTACAGCTGCTGACTGATCGCACGGGTATTTGGCATTGCGTCACTTCAACTTTGAACTGCTGGCTGGGGGCGACTACAGCTGCTGACTGATCGCGCGGGTATTTGGGATCGCGTCACTTCACCTTTGGCGGGAGCTGATTCAACCTTTGCAAGGCTATACAGTGTGCATTAACGGTGTACGGAAGTCATATTTCATGATTTTTTTCTTACTGGACCTCTAAGCTGTCGATTCCATCTCAGCTTTATCCAAGATGCTTAAGTGAGTGTTCCACATTTGTATGGGGTTTTGAACTGAAACAGCTATTTTGAAGATCGTTTGGTGCAGTTCAGAGTCCGGGTCTTCTTGAGACTTAAGCCCCTCTAGCGTCTGAGCTACACGCCCGCGAGATGGAGAAGGTATATCAGGGAGAGGATATCAAGCTCACCATGACGCCATACTAACTTCATTAAAATCCTGCCATTACGCTGGCCGAAGACATATGGCAATCAAGCCCAAGACACATACAATTGTCAAGTATTTCCTATCTGACATTGCTTAGCACGATTTGCAAATATAAGGGCCGTCAATCGGCTCTTAACCAATAGTGCAACGTACGATGACGTAATAAAACCACGTACCAAGGAGCATATGTACCAAGCAGAGAAGTTACGTCGTCTGGAACAGCCTTTTTCACTAAAAAGCACACCACTAGTTACAAGTGAGCTTATTTCATCAGACCTGATTTTTCTTAAATATCTTC